ACTTTGTTATGTCTAAAAAACTTTTATCAAATTTTATAAAATTATATCAGTTAATGTGCTATCTTTAAGTTTTAATACACATAACACTCATAAAACTGCATAAGCATGCAAAACACATTACATGATGGTACTGCAGATGATATTGATACTATTGTGAAAGTAAAAAAAAAAAAAGTGTATAAAGTAACATATGTTAAACATTTATGTAATTGCATGAAAACAGTAATGATTAAGTTTAAATACACATAAAACCCATAAAACTGCATAAGTATGCTAAACAGATTACCTGATATTATTGCTTGAGGTGCTAATGTAGAGACAAAAAAATAAATAAATAAAGTAATCTGTAATTAACATATGCTATCTTTAAGTTTTAACACACATAACACTCTTAAAACTGCATAAGAATGCAAAACACATTACCTGATGGTACTGCAGATGACGCTATAGTGGAGGTAAAAAATATATTTACATAAACTAATCAATTAAACAGTTTATTTTAGAGTGATAAAACCGCACACAAACATCAAAAAATGTGTGTTAAAAATAAACAAAAAGAAACATAAGTCTACTTTACTTACCAATTGAATTTTCTAAATTTTCTAAATAGAATAAAAAAAAAACTCATTAACATTAGGAAAGAAACAAACAATGTTAGTTTCTTTCCTAATGTTAATGAGTTTTTGACAAATATAAATAATAAAGTTGACAAATATTCTGCATGTTAAACATGCAGAATATTTGTCAACTTTAGGAAATCTATAAATAAAGTTGGAACAAAACAAAAGGCAAAAATAACAATCACAAAACAAAACAAACCAAAAAAGAAAAAAGCGACAAAAAAAAATAAAAAATAAACTAAAGAAACAATCCACAAGAACAATATAGTAACTTACTAAGTTGTTGAAATATAAGCCCAAAAAAAAAAAATGCTAAAATTTGTATCAAAAAGGCTAAAAGACCATAGAATACACCTTTTTTTTTGAAAGTAAAATGCAATATCTTTATCTATAATACACAAATGTAATATAATCAAATTCTGTTTACCCATTGAATGTTCTAATTTTTCTAAATAAAATGAAAAACTTATAAACATTAAAATAAATTAACTTGCCAAATATAGAATAACTCTATGTTAAATAAATATGTAATAAAAAAAATAAAGAGCATGACAACAACAATAACAAATTGCTTACTTAGATTCTCAACAGAATGTTCTAATTTTTCTAAATAAAATAAATTTAAAAGTTACAAAAGTCACTTGCTGACTGACAAACTGTCACAACTGACAAAAGTCAGTTGCTAAATAACTTTAAAAAAACTAAAAAAGCATAAATGTATTTGCACACAAAAAAAACAAAAAACAACAACAAAATTCCTCACTTAGCTTGTCCATTACTTCCGCTAAACATTAAAAAAAAGTTATAATTAACAAATTGCTGAAATTGGTGTTATCTTTGTAACATATCCTTCTCATACAAAATTAGCTTACTTGGCAAGAGCTCTTCGGCTTTGATCTCTTGAACATCTAATATATATATAGACAAAATTAATTTTCAAAATATTTACTTTTTCAATTAAACATATAAGATTTGTCTTAAATTATAAAACTGTTGCACAGTTTTATAATTTAAAACATTCAGTAAATGACAAAAAGTTTCATTTTACGTAAAAGTTTAGTAGTTAGAAGACTTAAAAGTCAATTTTAGCTTGAACACGTTTTATAAAATTATAGCTTAAATACCTTAAATAAAGCTTATACGCGTTTTTAAGGTTCACTGCTTTACAAAAACATCAATCAAAATAGCGGAATAAACAAAAACTGAGTTTTGGGTCCACCCTTTTAAAGTTCTAAAAACTAATTTATATATTTTTTAATTTTAGTTAAATTTTAGGGGGGTGTACTTGATTCACGGGGTTAGGGGAGGGCGGCATATCTTGGTTGATTTTAAATAAAAACGGCTAATTAAATCATCGTTTTATTCACACCGTAAATCAAGTACAGCTCCGCCACTTTTAGAACATATGTAACTGCTACTATATATACTATATATATATATGGCTTACTTCGAAAAAATGCAGAAACTTCTTCGTCCCCTAAAGATATACAAAATTATCTTAATGTAATTTTTTAATAAAATAATAAGCTAAATATCTCAGTATTATTGACGTATTATCTCTTTTTATCTCTTTGATTAATTAATGTTATACAAAATTAAAAGAATACCTTCTGTATCTTGGCTGCTCATTTCTAAAAAATAATCTTAATGTTTATTCTATTGGGTCAAAAACATATTAACTTCAAACATATTAACATGGTAATTATAAAATAAGTTTAATTTTTTAAATGAAGATTACAATAATTAAACTTGTAGATACAACTTACTTGTCGTCCCTCGCTTTGCAATTGTTATAATCGATATGAAGACCACATGGCCGAGTTTTATTGGTTTTAGAGTACAGTTGGCGCACATATCATAATACAAAAATCAGATGGTTTTGAATCTATTAATTAAGCTGTTTTTATTAACGGATTTGGTGGATTTAATTAGATAACCGCAAGGTAGTTTTACAGTGGTTTAAGAGTTGGCGTACGTTTCGTAATACAAAAATCATTTAATATTTGTTTATATCTTAATATTCGAGCATTTCTATTAGCGGATTAGGCGAAATTTTGTGGGTTTTCTGTTTGTCACCTTCTGGAGTAACTAAATTTTTTTTTTTAGGTTTCAGATTACAATTTTTTTTTTCATACCTTTCCGTACTTTTTAGGACTCTTCACCAGTTAGTTTTAATAAAAATTTCAGATTGCATGTAAAACCTTTTTTTTATATATATAAGAAAGAAATTTATCTCTTTAATGTGTGTTGAACTCGCAGTTTTAACTAATTACCTAAAACATAAGTATCTCTATCATGATATATGCGCAACAAATTTCCAACAGCGTTTTTATGTTTTTAAAAATTTTTAAAAACGTTTTAAAAAATTCTCTCCGTTTGGTTTCTTATAGTATATTATATCTTTATTTTTATGTAATGCGTATAACATCTATATGCATTTAAACTTGTTTTTCTTTGTTTTCCAGAAAACTGGATAGGATTTAAAAAAAAAATTGTGTAAGCAAAAGGTTTTGAACCGAAGCAAAGCACTTCAATCGCTGTGGAATGCTATATCATCTTTTTACACTATTTAATAAACAGAAAACTTATTAAACTTTAAAAAACAACATTTAATGCTTTAAAATAAAGAGATATTGTCGCAATGAAATTATTAAGTAAAAATAAATCGGTAGAATTTGATGTCATCTACTTTATAATTATACTGATTGATAATTAAAGAACTTAAAGTTTTCATATTTAGATATTTGAATAGACTTTCGTTCACAATGATAAAATACAAATCATAACGGATTGTGGTTCCGAAAAAAAAGGTTAATACACTACCATCTATAATTATTGGAAAGGTCATATTTTTTAATATCAAAGATATCAAAGTTTTGCGAAAAAGTGAAAACAATGTCTACCTGAATTATATGTTATCTTCCTATTTATTAGGTTTTCCAATAAAACTTCCCTGATTAGTTTATAATTTATTCAAGGCCCTGATTAGCTTTTAATTTATTTGCCTATTAATCACCCTTAACAACAATAACCGCCATAAATATATTCTTAGCATTCTACTTAACGACTTATCTAATTAGTCTATTTTGTCACTAAGTATAAAAAAAAAAAAAAAATACCCATGTATTAACTAAATATCAATTTATTTATCTATTTAATTTAATATATATAATATATAATTTAATATATATAATTTAATCTAATTAATATAATTGAAATACTACTAATCAGCTTACTGATATTTTTTCTATAGCATTGTTAAAAATGGTCATATTCTGAAAGGTAAAGAAATTTATTGAAAAGAAAGTTGCACAAAAGAAAAAAAAACTAAATAAAAGTTATTTGTTTCAAAAAACGTTTTACGAAGAGTTTTTCCAAACAATTTTATTTTTAATTGGGTTTTTTTTGAATTTCGTCATAAGCATATTAAGGCGTTTTGAAAAACAGTTGCTGCATATATTTATAGTAAAAAAGTTAATGTAGCAAAATAAACTTTTAATTGTCAAAAGAAAGTTTTAAAGTTTTATCTAACTACAGGCTTTTTTTTTTTGCCTCCACAGCAGCATCTTATGAAGTAGCAGGGCTATCTTGTTGAGTTTTTTCTTTATTAAGTTTCAGACAACTTTTTTTTCAGACCATCCGCAGCTTATTAGGACTAATTACATTCGCACATTACAGGGTTTATGCGAAATATAAAACATTTTTTAAGAAAATATAAAACATTTTTTAAGACAATATAAAACATTTTTTAAGAAAATATAAAACATTTTTTAAAAAAATATAAAACATTTTTAAAGAAAATATAAAACATTTTTTAAGAAAATATGAAACGTTTTTGAAGAAAATATAAAACAAATTTTATGCTAATATAAAACATTTAATTAGTTAATCAAATGTTTAATATTTTAACATAAAATATTCAATTACGTACTTACTCTATACTATGGAATTTATGTGGTTTATTCACAACAAAGAAAGAGATCTGTAAAAATATATTATTCAAGCTTTATTTTGTTGTTTTAATCAATAAATGGAAAACAAGAGACAAAGAAAAAAAAGAACACTTATTACAAAGGATATTGTAAAAACAATAAGAAAGTCAATTCTTAAAGAAATGAAGTTAAAAGAAATTGCAGAAGAAGTTGAAATATCAGTTTCTGCAACACGTTCTATTTCTGATAAAATCTGTAAAGGACTTAGTGATGATGAAATCGCATCAGTAAAAAAAGGAAGGCGCAGCTCTTATGACAAGACACTTAAATCTGAAATTCGAATGTTAATTGAGCATGATCCATCTCACACGTTAGCATCATTGATAACATTCTCGTTGAAAGGAATATTAACGCATCTATACCAACAATATCTAAATATTTGAAGTCGATGGAGTTCACTAGAAAACGACTTATACTAGTACCAAAAGAAAGGAACTCGCCGCAAAACATTGATTTAAGACAAAGTTTTTGCAGGACTATTAATTCGAATTCTGACAATAACTTAGTGTTTCTAGATGAAACAGGCTTTAATTTACATACTTCTAAACAGTATGGCTATTCTATAAAAAATTCAAAATGTTTTGTTACAGTGCCAGCAAATCGTGGAAAGAATGTAAGTCTCATGGCCGCTATAACAGTTAATAGTATTTTAAGCTTTAAGATAGTGGATGGTGCCTATAATGGCAATCTTTTTTGCGATTTTATAACCAAAAATTTAAGACCGTATTTCCAAACGAATCCCCATTCTGTACTAGTATTGGATAATTGTGCATTTCACCGTAGAAGAGATGTAATCAATTTGCTCAGCCAATACAGTGTTTCAGTTTACTTTTTGCCACCTTATTCACCACAATTGAACCTGATTGAGGAATACTTTAGTTGTCTTAAAGCTAATTATACTTCTATAAGGCCGTTTCCAAAAACTAGCAATGAAGTTAAGGCTACTTTAAATTCGCTTATACCGACAATTGGCGTTGATTTTTGTGATTGGTATTATAATATGAGAAGATGGGTTTTGAAAAGCATAGCAAGACAAGAATTTTACTAAAGTGGATACTTTGCTTTTTATATTATATCTTTAGGTATAATGAGTTATAATTATATAAAAAATACTCTTTATTCTTTAGAAATTTATGAATAACTTTATGTATCATAAATGCACTATTGATTCAACTACAATGTTTTATATTTTCTTAAAAAATGTTTTATATTTTCTTAAAAAATGTTTTATATTTTCTTAAAAAATGTTTTGTATTGTCTTAAAAAATGTTTTACAATTTCTTAAAAAATGTTTTATATTTCGCATAAACTCTGTAAAAACATAAGTGTCTCAATTATCATAGATACGCAACATATTTTTTCTCCTGGTGATGTTTTTTTTTTTTTAATGTTTTATGAAGTTTTAGCATTCTTAAAATCATTTCTTTTGTGAGTGCATAATATCGTTACGTTACATATGTTTGTATATAATCTTTATAAAACTTCGAAAGTATTTTGTATTTTAAAATAATTAAAAAAATTTTTAAAAATAGCCGCCTTTGGTAGGAGTCGAACCTATAGTTCCTTGTTCAGAAGTTCGCCGCCTTACCCACTCGAGCTACACCGGCTTATCACCAAGGGTAGATTTTATAATAATGTAGTAATTTTTTTGAGGAAAAAAATGTTAGATCAAAATTAAGGAGAGGTTGACGCAATGTAATTTTCAAGTAAAAATCAAACTGTAAAACGTGATAAATGTTTCAGTATGTTTTAACATATGCTTTAACATTACATAAGTTAAAGTTTACGTACGTTAGATGTTCGTTCACGTTTTCTTATAGCGCTGCGACTCTTTCTTGCCAATACCTCGGTTGCAATGGCTGCCAAGGGTTTCGTGTCAAATACGCTCCAAGGGACACTACTATTAAAACTATTAAGTTCGGCAATATTATATAGAAGATATTGTATATAATATTTTGTTGATTTAAAAAAAAATTGTAAATTTAAAAAAATAATTTTAACAGAATACAATTCGTTGTAAGATTTTAGATCACGCATCACATTACACATTGATGAAACATTTAATAGATCACACACTTAAAAAGAATATTACGTCATTTCCATGATTTACTGTATTGATGAAACTTTGTGGAATAATAAATCATAAAATGTGAACTTTCTATAATTAACCTATTTTTACTGTTTTTGTAACATAAACCATTACGAAGATAACATAGTCTATATATTACTATATAAATAAAATGTTCATTGATGTCCATAATCTATGGCATAAAATATGAATTAGGTTTTTTTGAAGCATTACATTTTTAAACTCTGTCATTTCGGCCCAAACTATACCAAAACCTTTGTCGAATAATGATGAAACAGAATGATCTTTGAAATGCCAAACATTAATTTTTCTGCTTAATAACTTAAGAGCACTCGAATATGACTTTGAATCCTCCATGCTGCAGAAAGCAAGCCGCCGTCGGCTTCGTTAACTAATACTAAATCAACCATTTCTACAATTCCTCTTTTATTACTTTGTAATTCATCTATTCCTCGATGTACTAGTAATGCTTTTTAATTTGTTTTAAAACATTCTCATTTTCTGTATATAAAAAAAAAAATATTTTCTCTCAAAATGCTCCACATCCATGTTTTGTATTGTTTTTTGCGTTTAAACTAAAGCATTATATTTTTAAACTCTGTCTTTTCAATTGAAATTATACGAAAACCAAGTGAAGTGAAGATAAAACAGAATGAACTTTTGAATGGGAAACCTTATTTTGTCTGCTTATTAACATAAGAGCACTCGTATATTTGCTTTGAACCCTCATTGCTGAAGACAGCAAGTCGCCGTCGGATTTGTCAACCATTTCTACAACTCTCTATTTAATACCTTGTAGTTCATCTCTTCTTCGACAAATTGTTAATGTTTTTTAATTTATTCGAAAACCTTTTCATTTTCTGTAAATGAAGCGAAAAATAAAAATAAATAAAAGCAAAAATAATTTCTCTCAAAATTCTCCACATTCAAACTTTGTATCGTTGTATGCATAGAAAAATTTTTTTATATTTTAAACTCTGTCATTTCAGAAAAAAGCTGTACCAAAACCTTCATGTTTTTTAACTTGTTTGAGAACTTTTCATTTTTTGTAAAATAAGAAAAAACATATTCTCTCAAAATTCTCCACATCCAAGCATTTTATTGTTGTTTGCAATTAAATTAAAACATGTTTTTTGTAGCATTGTATTTTTAAATTCTATCACTTCGTCCCAAACTATACCAAAACCTTCGTCGAGTAATGATGAAACAGAAAGAACTTTTGGATGCCAAACATCAATTTGCCTACTTAAAAACTTAACTTAAGAGCACTCATGTAATACTTTGAATCCTCTTTGCTGCAGGAAGCAAGTCACCGTCGGCTTTGTTAACTAATACTAAATCAACCATTGCTACAATTCCCTTTTTAATACTTTGTAATTCATCTCTTCCTCAACATATTGCTGATATTTTTTAATTTGTTTGAGAATCCTTTTTTTTCTGTAAGTGAAGCAAAAACATTTTCTCTCATCCAAGCTTTGTGATGTTGTTTGCATTTAAATTAAAATAAGTTCTTTTGTAACATTATAATTTTAAATTCTTTCATATCGCCCTAAACTATACCGAAACCATCGTCAAGTCATGATGAAACAAAATGAACTTTTGGATGACCAACCACATTTTGTCTGTTTATTAACTTAAAAGCACTCGGATATTCGCTTTGAATCCTATTTGATGCTGCACAGTGGGCCAGAATTCACTATAACTGGACAAAATTAATTACTAATTTATTATGATTATGGTAAGAGATTCGAATTAAACGGTTTGTTTACTTCGAGTCCAGCTCTTACCATAATCAGAAATAAATAAATGAAATTGACTCTCAAACTTTTCGCCTTGAAACTTCAAATCATGTTCTTTAATAAAGTTGTAATTAAGTCTTCTGTCTTCTTTTTTATGTATTAACAGACTGTTGAGTCTAAAAAACTAGTGAATTTCGTTTTTTGTGACATTTATTAAGTCTAAAAAATAAAAACAGCACTTCAACATCTAAAATAAGTACTCCTATTAATAATAATATCAATAACAATAATAATAAAATAAAACAATAAGTACCAATTAAAATAGATTATTAAATCCATTTGGTTTGACAAGTTAAATTAATAAGAACAAAATTTAAATAAATCAGGTCATGCTAAAAGGGGATAAGTCACAAAAATTAAAAATTGAGCTAATAATCGTTTTCATGTTTCAATAGTAGGTTTTAACTGTTTATCATAAAATCAAACATGCCAGACGCTTTGTTACCCTAGTAACTGGAATCAGTTGTAGAGCTGTTCATGCTTAAGTCACTAACTTACCTCCTTTTAGCATAAAAAATCATCTTATGCCGTCTGTAGACGTAACTACGCAACAGATAACTGTTGTTGTTTTTATTTATTTTACTGAACTGTATAACTTAACCAAATTAGGAATTAACTTTATATTTAACTTTATATCTTTTGTTTTTAGTCTTGAGTTATTGTACTGCTATACAGTACCTATATATCCACTATAAGATCAAAAAACAATGGGATCAATAGAGTTAGCAAAACCAGCCCAACAACTAAAAAGAGCTAAAAAGCCTACTAAAACATCACCTTCGCCTCCAAATAGACATATACTTTCATCAGTAACGCAGAATAATGATATTAGGTTTTTAATTTCATCATTATTTCCTTTTAATACAAGTGTTACATTTCCATAACTTTTGAAAAAGCTATATAACTGTTCACTTTAAATAATTTTATAAAATAATGTAATGCACACATAACTTTCCAAAAAAAAATAATAATTCAAAACATGAAACAGTGTTATTTTAAATATATAAATAACAACTATATATACAAAAAAAAATTATATAACACTTGCAAATAATTAATAAAAGACCAAAAAAAATTTTTAAATAAATAAAAACCAAAAAATTGTTTAAGAGCAAAAATTAAAGTTTATTACGTACAGAAATTCAATCTAATAAATATGTTTATACTTTATGCTTTATATTTTCCAGTTTATCAAAATTTTACAAAACAACTATTTCTTAATTTTTAATCAATTGCATCAAATTCATTTTATTAAAAAAAAGCTGCGTTAGTAAAATAAAACTTGCACACACACAAGCACAATAGAAAAAAAAAATATATGTTCTTGATTGTATACAAATGCACTTTTTTCTTATTAATAAATAAATTGTTTAAAAAATTCATAAAATAAAATTCCTAAGTAAACATACCTTTAAATACATTTTGTATTTTTGGAAAAAAACCATTTTTAATTATTAACCGACCATAATGTTAATATAAGGCTACTTAATGTCTAAGTCAAAAGACATCCACTATAAGATCAAAAAACAATGAGATCAATAGAGTTAGCAAAACCTGCCCAACAACTAAAAAAAGCTATAAAGCCTACTAAAACATCACCTTCGCCTCCACATAGACATACACTTTCATCAGTGACACAAAATAATGATACTAAGTTTTTAATTTCATTATTACTTCCCTTTTATACAAGTATTACATTTCCATAACTTTTGAAAAAGTTTCTTAAATGTTCACTTCAACTAATTTTATAAAGTAATATAATGCACACAAAAGTTTACAAAAAAGAAAACATTCCAAAATATAAAACAGTGTTATTTTAAATATATAAATAACAGTTATATACAAAAAAAAATTATGTGACACTTGCAAATAATTAATAAAAGACTAAAAAAAATTTTTGAATAAATAAAAACCAAAAATTTATAAAAACTAAATATAGATAAAACATATAAGAAATTTGTCTAAGAGCAAAAATGAAAGTTTATTACGTACAGAAACTAAATCTAATAAATATGTTAATTAAATTTATTTTCTGTTTTATATTTTCAAGTTCACTAAAATTTTACAAAACAACTAGTTCTTAATTTTTAATTAACTGCATAAAAATTATTTTATTAAAAAAAAACTGCAATGGTAAAACAAAACTTGCACACACACACAAGCAGAAAGGGAAAAAAAAAAGATGTTCTTGATTGTATACAAATGCACCCTTTGTTTTTTTTCAATATAAATTGTTTAAACAGTTTATAATATACTATTCCTCAGCAAACATTCCTTTGAGTCCATAATGTATTTTTAGAAAAAAGTTATTTGAATGACCATAATGTTTTAATATAAGGCTACTTTATGTCTAGGTCAAAAGACATCCACTATAAGCTTAAAAAACAACGGAATCAATAGAGTTAGCAATATCAGTCTATTAACTAAAAAGAGCTATAAAGCCTTCTAAAACATCACCTTCGCCACCACATAGACAAAATAAATATATATATATATATATATATATATATATATATATATATATATATATATATATATATATATATATATATATTTATATATATATATATATATATATATATATATATATATTTATATATATATATATATATATATATATATATATATATATATATATATATATATATATATATATATATATATATATATATATATATATATATATATATATATATAAATATGTATATATATTTAAATATATATATATATATATATATATATATATATATATATATATATATATATATATATATATATATATATATGTATATATATATATATATAAATATATATATATATATATATATATATTTATTTATAAAACTTAATCTGAAAAACATTGTTTTTCAGATAAAGTTTGCAAAAATTTAAATTTAAAGTCAATGCGGTCAATTAGATGCTAGAGAAAGAGGAGTAGAGTTTAAGAAGATGTTTTGAGTGCGTATTCGCTTGGGCAAGTTGACTGTTAAAGTTTTTTTTAATAATCCAGATCAGTTTTTGGATGCATTCTATTTTTGTGACTATAGGTGTTTTGTAAAATATAGTTTTGTAAAATTTATATAAGTATATAGTGTTTTGTTAAAATCAATATACATTCAAATACTTTGTGGTTGTCAAAAAAAAGCACATATTTTTTTTGACAAAATTAGAGCTCAATTCAAATGCAAAACCTATTGACGTATATATTAACTTGTGCTTTTTCTGAAAGTAAAAAAGTGAACTTAATCAATAGTTAATTATTACTTTCATTTAAGCAAAATACTTTTAGTTTACACATAGTCAAAAAATGAAAAAAGACAGGAATGTATGAGAAATTTACTTAAAGTGAAAATTTTTAAATAAGATCAAAAAGTCAGCAAATGATCAAATAACCAAATGGTCACTATGAGTCCCCCTTTGATGATCAACTTAATTTGTACACCTTAAATCGAAAATATAATGAATAGGTATTGAAAACTAACTTAAATTGAACATATAATGAATAGGTATTGAAAACATTTTACAATGTTTATAACATTTGTTATACAATTTTTGGCTACTTGTTTTCAACAACCAAAACCAACAATTAAACAACCATACAGGTTGCTTGTTTTCTAATGATGAATTTTTTGAATGAAAGAGTCCTTTGCTGTAATGTTTAAGTTTCAAAGAAAGTAAATCAAATACATATCCAATATTAATGATGAATTTTTTGAATGAACTATATATACATGCACCTTGTTTTCAACCTCAGTCAAATAAGCAACTTTGGCCAATGATCCGCCTTGATAATTTTACATATATATACATATATATATATATATATATATATATATATATATATATATATATATATATATATATATATATATATATATATATATATATATATATATATATATACATATATATAAATATATATATATATATATATATATATATATATATATATATATATATATATATATATATATATATATATATATATATATATATATATGTATATAATACTTTTAGTTTACACATAGTCAAAAAATGAAAAAAGACAGGAATGTATGAGAAATTTACTTAAAGTGAAAATTTTTAAATAAGATCAAAAAGTCAGCAAATGATCAAATAACCAAATGGTCACTGTGAGTCGCCCTTTTGATGATCAACTTAATTTGTACACCTTAAATCGAAAATATATATATATATATATATATATATATATATATATATATATATATATATATATATATATATATATATATATATATATATATATATATATATATATATATATATATATATATATATATATATATATATATATATATATATATATATATATATATTTAAATGTACAGTTTTTTGTTAAAATCTATATATGTTCCAATATATTACTGTTTTTCTGTTTATATTATCTGTTTTTTTATTTAATTTTAATTAACATAAAAAATACATTATATTTAACACATTGTTTTTACTATTTTTTTTTTAATTTTAATTTTATTCAACGTAAAATATACGTGACATTTAACACATTGTTTTTACTATTTTAACTATTTAAACATAAGCGGGTATTTAAAAAAATGAAAACAACATGATAACTTTGTTGTTTACATTCAACATAACTCATGTTGAATGTTATGTTGAATTAAAGTGATATTAATTCAATATAACTATATATATGTATATATATATAAATATATGAATATATATATATATATATATATATATATATATATATATATATATATATATATATATATATATATATATATATATATATATATATATATATATATATATATATATATATATATATATATATATATATATATATATATATATATATATATATATATATATATATATATATATATATGTATATATATATATATATAAAGAGAGAGAGAGAGAGAGAGAGAGAGAGAGAGAGAGAGAGACATACATTCCTATAAAAGTGATATATTATATACTGCATTATCTTGTTTTATTTCTGTTTTGTCTGGACTGTCTTGATTGTAGTATTTGTAAATGTAAAAACTTTGTTATTGTTATATATCATCGTTAACAGCAGTCTTGCATTTTTCAAAGTTTTGGTTTAAAATGCAAGAATACTCTACACTACTAAAATAAATATTCTATAGAGCGCAGCTTCTTTCTTTCTTTTA